GAAAGCCGGACCACCCGCGGGGCATTCGAGGGGAGCAGGGCAGCACAATTAAACCTACTGTTTTCCATTGAAAATAAGTTGAGAGCTGGCTGCCAAATTAAGAGTTACATTAGCCCGGCAGTGTGGCTCCGTGGATAGAGCGTCGTCCCGCGGATGGAGAGGTCCCGGTTCGATTCCCCGTTGGGGCACAGGCCCAGGTTGCGGGCTTGATCCCCAGTAAGAGGAATGCTGGAGGTGGCTGATCGATGTGTCTCACGTGGAGGTTTCTCTCTCTCTCCCCCTTCCTCTCTCTAAAAAAAAATCAATAAAAACATTTTTTTTTTATCCTCACCTGAGGACATTTTTCTATTTTTGTTCAGATAGAGTGGGTGGGGGAGAGAGAGATAAACATTGACGTGAAAGGGACACATCAAGTGGCTGCCAACCAGGGCCGGGGGACGAATGGCAACCAAGGTCCGTGCCCTCGACCGGACTCGAACTGCGACTCATTGGTCCGCAGGCTGATGCTCCAACCGCTGCGCCAAACCGGCCAGGGCTCAATAAAAACACTTTCTAGAAGGGTTACACTGAACGGGGAGGCTACGGCCCGCCATGGCCCGCCAGCCTCAGCTCTCTATAAATCAGTTCACTGTTGTCGCCTTCCGAACACTTTCCATCCGGACAAAACGCAGGGGCGGGCCAAGGTGGGCTTAGGCTGTGGCTGCGCGGTACCGTCTACTGTCTTGTTCTTTATGAACCACGGTAGCATCCTCGACACAACCCTGTAAACCCGTTTCGCGCACCGCGCACCTCCCCACCAGGGCCGCCGCCTGCCCCGCGCAACCCCAGCACGAGTTTTGTGGGTGCCCTTCGAAGATGAAAGCCTGTTGCAACACATCCCTGATGGAGGGAGAAGTGCCCGGTACTCAGCGGTCCGGTTGGTGTTTGTGGCCTCCGGCACGGCCACTTTCATTTCTTATTGTTAGTTCCCAAGCAACATAGCCAGGTGGCATTTTTGAAGGAAACTGCTGTAACTGGTCCTAATAGCTTAAATCTCTCCTTTCCCAAGTGAAAGATGACCCGGAGACATTTCGAAGACTGCGGCGGGGAACCGAGAGCTGGGGGCCGAGGCTCGGTTTGCCCGCGATGGGAACCGGGATGTTTTCAACGCATCGGACACGTGGGTCTGTTAACGCACACACCTTCCTGGGGGGGACAGCTTCTGGCCGAGGACGCAGGCTTCACCTCGAGGCCAGCACGTCAGAGAACCACCACCATGATTCTGCAATGACAGCTCGTCCCATCGATCACGGAGGGGCTCAGCGCTGACCCTGGGGAGGCTGGATGTGTCCCTGCCAACGGTCCCGTGCGCAGCCTTGTCTCTCCCCTCCGTCTGTGCACGACACCTGATGCAAACTAGGGAGGTCCTGAAATACACCTGCAGGCCGCAGGAGCACAGGGGGGACCAGACGGAAGACTGGGAAACAGGCACAGGGTGAGGGAGGGGTGCAAATGAGGCTCCGAGTACGTGCAGTTTTATTTTAACACAAAGATAAAATACAGCAAAGTAGTAACATTTTGAAGTCTGGACGGTGGGTTTATGGGTGCGATTCTGGGTCAAGTTTCAAGGTAAATATCTCGCCACATGTGAGACGAGCCCCACAGACACCTGAGAACCACACACCTGCAGTCAGCTAGGAACGGAGAACAGCTTATTTTCACCCAAAGGGAACAGACTTCCTCTCCGAGAATGTCAGGCAGGCCCCAGTGAACATTCCAGAGACTCCTGTGACCCCGGGGCAGGCGGTAGCTTCCGTTCAGACAGGACACTGAGGCTCAGCACGGCCCTTCCAGGGATGCGAGGGTGCGAGCGGCCGAGCCGGGACCACAGCCGGGTTGCGGGCAGGATTCGCCATCCTGCCCGACCTGCTCGACCAGCACGGGGCCGTGCAGAGGACAGCGACCCCACGGGCGGGGGACACGGGGCAGTCTTCCTCCAAGTGACCGCCAGGCTCTCCGACAGGGGCTTTCCGTCCAGCTGCTCCCAGGGCCGCGGCCGCACAGAACCTGCTTTGCCAGGTCCGTGGGCTTCCATTTGAGAGCGATGGCCGTTAAGATGGCCTGTCCGCTCACAGGGCCCTGAGACGGGTCTGGTCACACGACAGCGTCAAACTGTCAGCATGCCCATGGCTCCAGCCACAGCCCCTGACAGAGTGGGGACCAGTGAGGATGGACTTTATTCCCCTTGGCACTGGAGCCCCAGCACCCAGCACGGTGTCTAGCATTCAGCAGGCACTAAATAATTGTTCTAAGAGTCAAATACCAGGTGGCTATTAAAATAAGGCAGAAAATATTGGCTGGGGAGCTCCGTTGGTCCCGATGCCCTGTGTTTGCAGGTCTGAGCCCCGGTGAGGGCCCGTGAGAGGCAACCAATGAGTGCGTGCGTAAGTGGAACACAGATCAGTGTTTCTCCCACCCCCTCCACCCTGCTCTCTCTCTCTGGAATAAATAAGGCGAAAAATAAATTATGGGAGAACTTTCCTAACACATTAAGCGTGTAAAGCAGAATTCTCACGTGATGCACGTTGCACAGAACGGTGTGCTCACTAGCCGTGGGCCGCGCGGGAGCACACTGGCCATGGCGGGCACCTGCTGCCTCTCTGGAAGGCTCAGCCTGAGGGACAAGCAGCCTACAAGCTGGCCTCATGGCCCTGGGGTGCTGACCTGAAGTCGCAGTCGGGGAGCACCCCGGGCGAGGCCCTGGGCACCAGCGTCCCTAGACCTCCTGCACCAGGCTTCGGAGGCTCAGGCTAGGGCGTGACCTGCCACCCGAAGGACGCCTACGATGAGCCCCGCCAAGTAACTGTCGTCACGCCACACGCATCGCAGCATCTGATGGCCCGGACCTCGCCCCAGGCCTTCACCTGACGCGCGACCAGCGGCTCACGGAGAAATGCGCCCGGAGCCCCGAAGGGCGGGCACGCCCCACCTGATCTCTGGTGCAGACGGGGCGGCGGCTCAGCCCTCGCTGTCGCGGGTTTTCTACGATGAACATACTACTTCTGTGGGTTAGTAACGCTTACTGAGTGAACGAACAAAGGCCACACGTCCAGTGCACTGGACATGGAGTGACTCCCTCCAGATGGCACTGAACACTATTTTGAAAAAGGGACCATCTCTATCATTCAAGCGTCAAGGTGGCCAACACTGACACATCAGAGTATCTAGAAACGCGGCCCCTGCTCGACAGAACCTTCACGAGGAGCAAGACGTGTCCACGTAAACATGGTCCAGTCCCAGGCAGTGGCACAGCCGGAGGCAGCCAAGAAGGAGACGAGTCACCGGAGCTCAGGGGAAGAGGTCACGCACCTGTGACAGGCCGGCTGGGGGCTCCCTGGGAAGGGTCTCGACCGTGCCTGGCAGGGTTCAAATGGAGACTGAGAGCAACTCAGAACAACGAACCCCCAGCACTGTGAATTGGGGACTCGGCCCGTGTGTCTGGGGAACAGTGAAGAAACAGCCTGGCCCCGAGTGAGGGAGCCCCAGAGTCGGGGGCTTGGGAAAAGTAAAAGGCGGCGGGGGCTGGGGGAGCTAACGGGACAGAGAGACGCTGTTGGAATCTGGGGTGAGCAGGCATTTCCCGACGCAGAGTTCCCCAAGGTCCTGGTAGGCTCGTGCAGTCTCCCCTCTGGGGAAGAGGTCCTCTTACCTGACCAGAATCCTTTTCCCTGGAAGAGGGTAGGGCGCAACAACACTTAGGAGATACCAAGTCGAATGGCAGAGGCGAAAGAAATGCAGGGCTTGAATGGCAAGGTAAACTTTCTTCTAACAGCCTGGGTTTCCCCAGAACCAGGACACGCCCACCCACGGGCGGGATCCCAGGGCCCGGCGGTCCCGCCACTCCTGAGCACCCTGCCCGTGAGCAGTGCCTTCTGGCGACCTGCAGGCCTGGAAGCGGCTCCCCTTCCCACGCGGGGCCGGAAGGGCTGAGCGACGGGGACGCTGGAGGACCAGGCCCAGCAGAGCCAGGGTTTCAAGTCGTGCGTGGCACACGGCAGTTCGTTCCAATCAGAGGTGGCGAGGCCTCTGGTATCAGGTCGGTTCAGGCCATAACCCCCGTTCTTTACGAAAAGAAAAGCAAAAGCGAACAGATGTGTCGCGAACACGTTCCCCGATGCTCCGTGTCGCTGCACTGACTGTGCTCCGGACCGGGGTTCGAGTGCATCTCACACGGGGCCACCGCTCCGGGAGGTGGAGGGTTCAAGGCAGGGACGAGGCTGCTGCGCTCCCCCAGGTTGCGGAGGGGACCCTTGAAGGCAGTGGGGCAGTAGCCACAGAAGGAAAAACGAGAGAGACACTAGAGGGAGAAGAAAAACCGGGTGCAGGAACCCAGCGAAGACACCCACGCGTGAACTCATCTGGGGACAGGTGGCCACGCCCGGTAACTGTGAGGGGAGCTGGTTCAGCGGTGCCCAGGGAGGCAGGACACCCAGCTCCCCTCACAGTCTCAGGACAGGACCCGAGGCTGCTGTCCCTCAGTCACCTTCGCGACACGGTACTAATTCTCACTTCACGCTGAACGTCTGGGCTCAACCGAGCGGTTACGGCAGAATCGACTAAGGTCCCAATACCATCCGTCAGTCTCAGGCCATTCCATGATGGGCCACCCAGGGGCTTCCCTTCGCTTCGGCTCGTGACGGGAGACAGCCGGTCTGTCCCTCGGCCCTGTGCATGCGCGACTGTGCCAGCGCTTCCAGAAGGGCTGTGCCGCCAGCTGCCCGCAGTGGCCTGTGCCCGTCCTCTAAGCTGCTGCGGCTCCAGGGCCCTGCTGCTCCGGCAAGAGGGCACGAGGCACAGGGCAGGGCTCCAGCAGCCCACTCTGTCCAGGACCGGAGCCCGATGCACATGAGAACAGACGTAACTGAACGAGGCAGCGCGGACCCAGAGGTAACGTGTCAGCCCCGGCGCCCTTGATGAAGGGAGCTCTGTCCACAGGAGCCTTCTACACAGTGAGCTGCATTAGTCACCAGCATTAGAAACACCAACATGTAAGGTTCTGACTCTGCTTTATTAAACAGCACGCAAATTACAGGTCCGGGTTATTCTACAGAAAGAACTCAAGCCGCTCGGAGAAGCAACTGGGCTCGCGGGACAAAACGCTTCTTCGCCGACCCACCGGACACCAAGCTCCGCAGCCCGAGTGGGCACGAGGGCACAGACCAGCCTGTCGGAACCGGACACACCCACACGCAAGGGGCGTGTCCAGTGCCCACAGCGCATCCTGCAGGACGAGGACTGTGTCCGTGGGAAGGAAACAAGCTTTCCACAGACAGCCACTGTCTCAGGCGATCAGGTGGACCTGCAACAAAGACAGCACATCTCAAGACCGGATCCAGACTGCACTAAGTTTTCACTGAAATTCTCAAAAAATAAAAATAAAACCTTTCTCTGTATCAAAAGAATTTTTCAAATATTCATCACAGATAAAACGCGTCTCAGTCAAGGCCCACGCCCGTCCAGAAACACATCTGCACGTGAGTGGGACAAGACGGACGACAGAAGCGGCCTGGGAGGCACCCCGCGCGGCCGGCTCTGCTTCGGCCTGCACCGAACCAGCCTCCTTCCCGCTGCAGTGTTCTCTCTGTAACCTTAATCACCAGTGGCTGGACAACTGAAATGGACATGAGAACTATATAAATGTCAGAAAAATATGTAAACCTCATTAATGTTTCCAAAAATTCATTTAGAGATAGAAACAGGTCCAAATAGATGCCTGTCTAAATGTCCTGCAATTACGTTACAATTATTTTTCCAAATGCACAGATACGCTCTGTCTCTTCTCAGCTCATCACTGACTCAAACAATCTGCCCTTCTGGGACCGAGTGTTTGCTGATAAATAATTGTTTACGGTCACAAAATAACGTTAGGAGGGTTTCTTATTAGTTTTCCTTCTGCACCCTAATAAGATTGAAAACTAGCTGATTCCCAAGAGTCTAACCTTAACCTCGCTTTGTTTAACAGCCCAGGAAATGATGAACCATCTGCTTCAGAAAATAATGGCCGGCCGAGAGGAAATGCTGTCTAATTGTGGGCTGACCTCCCCGTGAGGCAGTCTGCAGCGGCCCCGGATGAGCAGCTAACCCAGCAGCAGAAGCAACTGCTTCAAGGCCTTTTCCTCTACCATTTAAGGCCCAGAAAAAATGCAAGAGATCTTTACTACCTATATTCATTTACCAACATTTACTTCACAGTGGAAACAAGATCATCTAAGTCGAGCTGATTCTCCAAGCGCAGTCAGTGCCCCCCAGTGCTGGCTGCCCCCCCCCCCCGTGCTGGCTGCCCCCCCCTCGTGCTGGCTGGCCCCTATGCTGGCTGCCCCCCCCCCGTGCTGGCTGGCCCCCAGTGCTGGCTGCCCCCCTCGTGCTGGCTGGCCCCTATGCTGGCTGCCCCCCCCAGTGCTGGCTGCCCCCCAGTGCTGGCTGCCGCCCCCCCGTGCTGGCTGGCCCCTATGCTGGCTGCCCCTCCCAGTGCTGGCTGCCCCCCCCAGTGCTGGCTGCCCCCCCCTCGTGCTGGCTGGCCCCTATGCTGGCTGCCCCCCCCCCCCGTGCTGGCTGGCCCCCAGTGCTGGCTGCCCCCCCCTCGTCCTGGCTGCCCACCCCCCGTGCTGGCTGCCCCCCAGTGCTGGTTGCCCAGGGACCTTTAATGCAGCCAACATCAAACCATCTCATGAACTTAAGAAAAGTGTTTGTTTAAAAAATTAAAAAATAAAACCTCTTATCCATTCTTTTTAGGTTCTTAATATTAAAATGAATACTTTCTCTGGTTTCCTTGTTAAAGCGATACCCCCCCCCCCAGGAGTACAAATTGTTTCATCATCATCAACAGGCACTAAGCTTATGAGGCTTGTCAAGCACATGGCGACCTACAAGCTCAGGAGGAGGAGGGCAGCATGGACCAGCACGGCCAGGCCCCGGGAGCAGGGAGCTGAGGGAGCTGCCAGTGCAGCACAGCCACCGGGCCCCCGCACGGCCGTTCTGATGGGGGGGCACCCGATGCTGAACGTGACACTCCGCCCCTCGCGGGGATCAGCCACCTGGCAGGGGCGCTATTCCCTCTTAACTTGGAAAAGTCGAGGAGCCCTGAAAACATGCAGTTCTTCCCAAAGTGCTGACAAAGGACTTCCGGCAGGGCCTGGGAGCAGAGGCAGGGACAGGAAGTCACCTGGGAGCCATCTCTGTGGTTCGCCAAGAGCCTGAAGCACCACCTTCCCCAAGGCCTGGGCAGGACTGAGGACAGAGCTGTGCCCTGTTTGCACCAAAAACTGTAAATGGTTCCTCCCTCCAAGCAAGAGCCAAGGAGACCTGGGAAAGCTCAGAGCCACAGAGGCATGCGGTCCAGGCCGGGCCGTGCTGCCCGGCTCCCGCGGGCCTGCAGGCCCTTCACTGCGCAAACACCACAGACAACCCTGTGGAGAGGCAGACTTTTAGCAGTTCAAATTCTTAAATATCTTAAATAGAATTTACTCAAATAAATTATTCTTGAGTTCCTCAACTTAATTTTTAACCAACGAGCTAGTAATAACTCCAGAGATTCCAATAATGGCGCCTGTTCAAGAAGAACGAGAGCTTGACATTCTTCTCCACAGAACAACAAGGCACAATTCCATCCATCAGACGTCTATCAACCTACGGATATTGAAAGCTTGGGAGAACAAGATAAAATCAACTCCAACCTACAGTCAGCTGTAATATCGAGCAGGCATCAACAGCGCTATTCATGGATGGAGAAAATTAATAAACCCGGGCCGCAGGCAGCAAAGGCTCGGACGCGGCAGGGCTCACTCACTTGGGTTTTGTTTCTGCATCTGTCACTTGGCGGATGAAGACCCCGTCTTCGGGGTGCTCCGTGTCGTCCATCTCGTACATGTACGACGACGCGATGGCGAGGGTGGTCCCGTCGTTGCTGAAGGCGAGGGAGGCGATGCTGGTGGGGTACCGATGGAACTGGCACAGGCGCTTCTTATTAAAGGGATCCCAGATATTTACAAATCCATCAGAACCACCTGCAAGTAATTTTGAAAAAGTTAAGATGATACTTAAAAGCAGCTACAGAAATCACCATTATCTTTACAAATTATTTTAGATCACAAAAATAGCACCCCCCCCCCAAGAAATATACAGCAGATTTGTGCCCTAAATACCATAAGAAGCGATCAGTCTCTGGCAGCCCCGCCTAAGCAGCATCCCTAGGGCCCAGCAGCAGGGCGATGCCCCCGCGGGCCGGCCGGCCGTACCTGTGGCGAAGGTGTTGTGGACGCTGTGGAAGGAGACGGCGTTCACCGGGTACACCTGCTCCATGCTGCTCTCCTTCAGCCTGTGGCACTTGAAGGCGTACTTCCTCTTCTGCACCTCGGGGCTGGGGTCCAGGTACTCCACCGCCACTCGGCCCTCGATGGAGCTCAGCACGTAGCCCTGCGGGAGAGCCCGAGTGCTGAGTCCAGCTTCCAGGTCAAGGCCCTGAGGCCAGGCCCAGCCACACCCCGGGCTGCCTCGGGAGGGGAAGTGGCCAGGCCGCCAGGAGGTGCTGAAGCTGTGCTGCCAGAGTGTAGCTTTCCCAGCATTTCGAGAACACTAGCACTTGCTTTTATTCAAACAGATGAGAACATCATCACTTGTTTTTTTTTTAATGTCAATGTAAAGGATAAAATAAATGTGAAATGTATATTTCTCTATTTAATTCTTCAAGGTTTGAAAAAAATGTACTACTGAAAAACTACTTTTGGAGACAAAAAAAAAATCAGTAAAATCTTACTTTTAAATTTCTATTATAAACTGAAGATATACTCAGCCAGAAAAATTTAAATATGACACAAAAATATTCATAAATGAAGGATATTTTATTTTTTTCCAAATAAGGGCTGTTTATCAGCCGGCCGGCATCTGGTTCCGAACACCGCCATGACAGTCTTCGGAACCAGCCAATGCAAACAGATTTTAATCATGTATTTAAATCTCTAAAGTTTCAAGTAACTGCAATGCCTACATTCAATGGAAATCTACCGTATCTTGAAAGATGTGCGACCGCTATGTGAGGCCCCAGCTTTTGAGACGCAGGACAGAAAACGAGCCACAGCTGCTCAGCTCCACAGCCGCTCCCGAGGCCACAGGCCCCCAAGGCCACAGGCCCCCCGAGCTGCTGCCTCTAGCGCGTCCTCCTACAAACTTCCTGCAGGGACCACGGCCGACTCCCTTCAGAACTGGGAGGTTTGCAGAGCTCTCGTAAACAGGGGACCTCACTTAGCAATGACAGAGGGTGACCCAGCCTACACATCAAGAGCTAGTATTATGTGAGGGGCACACTGCCTCTCTGACCTCGGTGGCATTATCCTAAAAAATCCAAGTTCTGCTGCTAGACTCACTGAAGAACTCTGACACTGGGGTTACAGAGAGGCAACAAGAGCAAGAGAACAGCAAATTCCATGATCCTTCATCTCCAGATCCAAATCTGAATTCACTGGTTTGTAAACTGAAATCTCTGCAACTCTCCTTGATTACTGTGGACCTGGTCAAGCAACCTGAACCAGGATCAGCAAGAAATCAGAAGACTGCTATCAAACGCTGACAGATTCCTTAGCCTCTCTGAATGTCAAGGTCACCTCTAATATTGGGTTAACACACCTTTTAACACAAGGATGTCAAAAACATAGCTAGTAATTTCTAAATCACTACTCAAAAAAAAAGTGCAACATTTCTAAAAGGCAGTGACCAAATCATTATTACATAAGATCGCGTTATTTTGACATTCCAGAAGCTGGGGGCGGGGGAACGGCCGGCACCTGCTTGTTGGGGAACGCCCGTATGCAGCGCGTCTGGTACTTGAGGCTGGACTCCCGGCGCTGCTGCACGTAGCCCATGTTCCGCAGGTCCCACACCAGCACTCGGCGGCCCGCAGTGCCCACGATCAGCCTGTCTCCGGACACCGAGAGGGTGTACACCTTTCGGGGAAGACCAAAACTTGTCAAAGTGGTCTACTTGTCTGAAAATGGCATTTTGCCCTAAAATAGGGGCCACTATCATAACACCATAAACATTCAGGTTCCCAAACACAGGTATCAAATCTGAGACACTATAGTTACACAAACCAACTAATTCACACGAAATAACAAACCCAAGATATTCTTACTACTTAACCTAGTAGAGCCATTATGTATGTTCTAATTATTTTAAGGTTCAATTCTCTTCATTATTAAGGCAAATTGAATTTTTAAACTTTTCCAACCTTGTTTCATTTTGTACCAATATAAAAGTATAAAAAATACTCAAAAAGGAGACATTAAAACCATAAAACAACTCAAGATGCCTTTCAAGGGTTCTGGTTTCCACAGAACAATCACTTCCAGCCCTTTCTCGCTGATGCCTTTCCGAACCAGATTCACACCGTGGCTCTAAAATTCTGCCTTTCCCAGCTGGGAACTGAACCCGCCGTCTTTCCAGAGCAGCGAGGAGCCACGTTAATGAGCTGCTGGTCGGCTGCCTTCGCGGCACAGGAACTCAACATTACAAGAAAAAGAGAGTGGTCTGGCACATGACAAAGAAAATTCTTGTGCCCTGACATCATACTAAACACTCAAGACAGAGTTCGTTCATCTTTCGGAAAAATTTTAAAAGCATTTTCTCCCACAAAAGTATTCCCTCACAATACCATTTTTTAATATTAAAACAACTTCCACAAAAATTCCTTTATAATAAATAATAAAACTTCCTATACACAGGATTTAAAGTGGTTATTTATTTTCAAATGTGTTATTTGGAAACCAGAGATAGCAAATTCATGAAAATGGTGGCAAAATGTATTTTCCTGATCACGCTCACCCTTCTGTTCCAGACTGCAGGCACAAAACCACTGCTCTGTTACCTTCTGTTAATGAGCACCTCTGATTTATTTATGTTTTAGCCACTCTAATCTGATCTAATATTTTAACCCCTGGAGAATCATTATAAAAAATGAAAAAGTCCTGTAACATAGTAGACATCTCTTTAACGTATTCAACTATATGGTTAATAATCAGTAACACGTTAACTACATGCTACCAGTTAAAAGAACAAGTCAGGTTTAACAGTGTAATAACCCAACAGTCACACAATCTGGCCTTAAAATTCAACAACTATTTTGACCAAGGGAAAAGTAAGAAATTAAAAAGATTCAAAACAGTAGATGTGATATAGACATACTTAAGAGAAATACAAGATTTATCATAGTTTAGAAAACAAAATGTTTGTAGAAAAATAAAAATTCACCTAAGTCACATGGAACACCAAACTTAAAAACACAGAATGCAAAAGAAACCAGTTTGTAACAACAGTCAGACTGGAAATCTCGCCCGACCCTCCGTACAGGTGGCACAGGCTCAGCAGCACTCTCCTCCCCACTGTCGTAAATCACAGGAAACCACTGTCATGCCTCTGACTCGGCATATACATTTATCAAAGGAAGTATTAAAAAAAAGTGACATAATGAACCTTGCTGAACCAATAAGCAGCTTGATTCAGTGTGGCTGTCCATTATATGATATTCTGTCAGCAATTTATCACAGCTCTTAACATGTTACATACAACCATAAATCAAAACTAGAAACAATGCAATTATTTTATTCTGAACAAAGGTCTTGCCAGGAGTAGATTCGACAATGAAGTGACAAAAATAATGGCTCTTTGGATGCACCACAGTATATAATGATGGCTAACAGGAACTGAACAGTGTGTTCACACTGGGAAATAGACTCAAGTGAAGGACTCCTTTAAACCACAGAAACAATCCATCTTTAAAATTAACTACCACTTGATCAGGTCTGATGAGGATACAGCAAGAATGCTCAATTACACTTTCACTGTACAAATCAAAGGTTAAAATAATACACAAATATTCAGTTTTAAGAACCTTGGTTCATTACAGCCTTCAAACAGCATCTGTCAGTATTAAAAATAAGTAAATAACTGGTAAAAAGCAGGGGGTATGGGCCACCCTTCTCACTCCACTTGTAGAGATAACCCATCTCGCCCTCTTCGCAGTAAACGCAGGTGAAGCCCCAGGTCACAAGTGAATGAGACGGTTCACCCACTTCCTGGTTCGGGCACGTCAAACCCAATTTAAGGCAATGGACAGTCTGCAGAATGACTTCTCTGAAAATCTCAGTCCTGGGATATCAAGCCTTATATATGGAAATTTATTATTAAGCTATGTTCTCCATGACAACTGACAGAAAAATGTTGAGCAAAATAAATTTTCCTTTGCATCATAGTATTTCTATGTATTTGGGTTTGTAAAATAAACTTGTGAAGTCATAACCTCTATATTCAATACCATATTCACCGAGTATGCATCAAATCACCCCAAGGACCACAATTCCTATTATGAACGTAAAGAGCCTACCTTTTCAGGCTGAGAAAAGGTCCCAGCATTACAAGGAGTTCTGGGATCCCACAACTTAACTGTCTGATCCCAACTCCCAGTAACCATCACATTTACTTCCGGACAGTACTCAACACATCTGATAGGCGCATCATGAGTTCCAACAAGGTTTTCTATAGGGAAAACAAAACAAAAAACTAGTTTTACTACGTCTACTACACAAAGATTCTTCAAGTGAACAACAGAAGGAAACATTTGTTCAACTGCAATGAATCCACTTCCACCAACTCTAAGGAAATACCTGCACAAGAAAAGTTCTTCAGGACCATGAGGAGCTGGCCACTCCTCTCTGTTCACTTACAGAGCAGTCTGACTCCCTGGCATGGTGCATATCACAGGCTGACCTGAACTTCGGATTACATTAAAATGATGGTATATCTGTTATTTTCCTCACTTGATTCTACATTCCTTTAAATAGGGAACCTTGCTTAACTCTGTAGTTCTATCTATTGTAGGTCCTGACATATATCGTAAGTGCTCAAGAAATACTTGCTGAATGAACAAATGAGAAGATAACTTGTCTTCTGGTCCGAATAACACATCATATTAGGCCGCCATTTATAAGAAAGTGATTGGAGTGGTAACAGATGCGCAGAGACCTGGGGATAAGAAGGCAGCAGTCTATGGGTAACCCACGTGGTTTGCAGGTTTCCGATGCTAACTTCTTTCCTCCCCATGTCAGCTCCTCGCTCTCTCATCCACTCATCCCGGCAGCACCCATGCTCACCGCTAAGGGCAAAGCAGAGGACAGTGCAGTCTCGATCCTCGGACAAGAAAGCTACTTGTTCAAAAATATATCATTCCAACAAGAAAAAAATATATCTCCTAAGTTCAGCAATGACCTTTGGAGAATACACAGCTAATTCCCTTAATCATGGTCTCTGGCATTTAAAATGTTTTTAAGTTTGCTTTTCAGTGTTTTTTGTCCTAAGTTTTTGAACAAATATGACCTAAACCTGCAAACTAACTTACTATGTAGAATATGCTACTAGCAAACAAAACCACACATATGCAGTGCTAAGTGACAACGCAAAGTGACTTTCCTGCGACAGCCTCTTCCAACTGGGTCATTTTTGACAAAACATTGTGCCCATCCTCTCTCCATCCTCCCACTGTCCACCTCATACGCATATCCTGTCATGTCCCTGGGACTTGCCATCTCCTGCACGCGTATCTATGTCCAACGTCCGCAGTACATACCACCCCAGGAAGGGAACGCAAGCTCCACAGAGCTCTGGGATGTGGGCTCCGACACCACCACCAGTCACCATAATGAGGTGGGTAAGTCATTTCCTATCTGGCCTCTAAGAAATGATTAACTAAGAGAAAATGTGCTACCTTGTTATTCATTAAGTGCAGTTGAAGCACATTCTACACTAAGTAATGATAAAAGTAAGACTGATACAGCCCCTGGCCAGGACAGCCACTCTAGAACACCAGACCCCTACACCCATCTTCCTTTCCGTCTAAACTACACTGCTCCTGAGAGGAGAGCGGAAACATCAGCATCCTGGGAGTCTGATGAAACGCAGAGCACCTGGAGGTCAAGTCCACCTCTGGGGATAAGGTAAAGGTCAAGGACGTGAGAGCCCCTTCACGTAAACAGTGGAGATGGAGGTCACAATATGCTTTACTGAAGAAACACATGCCTGCTGTTTTGTGGTCAATGACTTAAAGGTCTAACCATTTACACAAAACAAGTCCTAACCATGGGACTGCCGTTCCTGCTTGTACTAAGCAACCCAGGAATTAAGGAATTCAAGAACTACTCTTCCTCCTAAGCACCTGTCCCCTGCTACACTCAGAGAAAACACTACCCTGGTAAAAGCCGCATTACCTTGATCAGTGTTCAAATCATGCATTTTCAACTGATGATCTAATCCCCCACTCCAGGCGTGTGTTGGATCCTACGACACAGAGGTTTCAAGTCATTTAAAACGTCCAGCTTTGGAGAGGGTTTCAAAATCCCAGCCCACCGTTCCGTCCATGCTCAGGAGTACACTGGGCTTCACCATCCACTCCCGACAGAGAGACCACAGCACGGGAGCACAAAGCACGTGAGTGGCCACGGAAACCACCGTCGGCAGCGGAGCAAGACCGGCCGAGTCCAGCGGCGTGCCCCTGTGCCAGCAACTAAACCCTCCGAGTTCCACCCCCGGCTGCAAATTTCACGCACAGCTGTCCTAGGTGGAGACCGTCTGCGGGGCTGTCCCACCCCACCCCTAAGGGGAGACCGAGTCTCCAACGTCTGCGTGGCCCCAGCGCCCGGCAGCGGCCGCCGGCGCTCGGGACCGTGCACGGGGCCGCCCACGCCGCCGCGCCCACGCCGCCGCGCCCACGCGGGGAGGGGCCGCCGCCCGCGCGGGCACCTACGTAGAAGGCGCAGTCGAGCACGGCGCCCGTGTGCTGGTACTTGAGCCGCATGGAGTTGGCCGGCACGTCGTACAGGCGCACCGACGTGTCCCACGACGACACCAGCAGGAACTGCGAGGTGTTGGGGCTGAACTTCACCGAGGAGATGCCGTCCTCGGGCGGCTGGTTCAGCTTGAACTCGTTAGAGCCCGTCATCTGCGAACACGCGCCGGGTCAGCGACCCCCCCCACGGAGAAGGGGTCGAGGACGCGGCCGGGGGCTGGGCTGCGAGGGCCTAGCAGGCAAAGGACCAGGACACGGCTGCGCCCGGGCCTCTGCGCCTGCGCAGAGCTGCGCCCACCGCGGCCCGGACTCGCCCGGCCCCGGCCCCGGCCCTCGCCCCCGGTCGGGGCTCTGCCCCTGGCCCCGCCGCCCCTGCAGCGCCCCAATCCGCCTGGCCGCGCCGCCGCACCCTCCCCCCGGCCCGCAGCCGGCCCGCCGCACCCCCGCCAGGGCGCTCACACCCCGGCCCCTCCCCCCGCGGCCCGCCGCCCGGAGGCCCCAACTAAAAGAAAAGCGATGGAGGTGGAACCGGCTCCCTGCGGACGGCTCCGCCAGCGCCGGGCCCGGGGAGAGTCCGCTTTGGCGCCCCATCCCGCTACCTTGACTTCGCCTCGGAATCCACTTGGCCGCCGCTCGCCGCCGCCTGGCTTCACTCGGAGAACTCGCGAGCAGGGCGAAGTGGGCGGAGAGGAAGCGCCAGTGTCTGCCTGCCATTGGCTGATTTCAAACGCCAACGTCTCAGCGTACGCGGCCGATTGGTCCGCTCAGAGGCCAGGCGTCGGTCAACCCAGTCAACCTCTTCCGGCTCAAAGGCAAGCAGCGGCTTTTCCTATCACGTGGTCTCGCTTTACCACACAGCTGAGGCACCGCCCCCGCTCGTGCGGACCGAGTGAAAACTACAACTCCCAAGGCGCCCCGCGCCAAGACTGCGTTCACGCCCTCTCGGACACGTGTGCGGCTCGCTGGGAGATGTAGTCTCCCTGAGACCGACACCCAAGCCAGTCTTCTGAATATTAGGAGAGAAAGATGTTACTTGGGGTTCGACCCCTGGCGCCGTCACCATCTGAGTTAATCTCGCAGCCAGTAGAACCCCATTTTGATCAATGTTTCTATAGAGCTAAATTATTCTCCCTTTCATGTACATATATGACCATAAAGTTAACCAAAAATTGCAACAGAGAAGGAAATATTTACTCTAATTGCATTATTTTGCCCTGATTTTTCTCCTGGGGTTTCCACCTATGAACCAAGGTGTCACATTTCCAATTGAGCTAATAGAAAATCATTCTTATTTGTACTATGCACCGTTCCACAAACATTTGAGTGCCTACTTTGTGCCAGGCCGGAGAGGCTAAGAAGATGCTTTAATCAGACCAGTCCTTGCTCTGGAGGAACTCCGTGTCCAGATGGGTGGACACACTGGGAAACAAATAATTTGCAGTGTGTTAAACCTCAAAAGCTTCTTTTAGACATATGTTAAAATAAGGTCTTAAAATGTCAGCTACAAGCTTCTCCCTGTCCACCCCACCCCCACCCCAACAACTCCCTAGAGTTTTGGGTTCAGTTTGCTCCATTTTCTGTTTCTAGAATCCTCCACAAATAGGAGAATCAAGAAGGTTGCTTCTGTCATAAAAAAATAATTTGATCTCCATGAAAGAAAATCAATTATAAATTAACTTGTAACTAGAATGCTGTGACTTGGTTACTCATAAATATCAAAAAAACTCACTGAAAATTTTCAATGTAATCCATGCTGTACCCACTTTTTCAGTGCCTTTTGTGGGGGGGGAGCTTGTTTTTATGTAACTTTGTATGAAGTGAGAGGAAACTGTTGGGGTTAAAGAGCTTTACTTTTAAGGCACATCAACAGTAGGAAAGTCGGTCTTCATGCATTCGCGTACGCTGACTCAGGTGCACATCTTCCTCTTGACACAATAAGTGCACACACAAACACTTTTCTCCCCACCGTATTTATAATGTCACTGCTATAAGGTCAGATGCTTGCCCTCCCTCCTCACCAGTCCTCATACTGGGGTCTCTATCTCTTCTCTTTTAACAAGTTAATGGCTAGGTTAAGAATTTTCAAATGCAGTGCCTTGCCTCCATTCTAACTTTGGCTAAATAATTTTATCTCCAAATAATTTTATTTAGTTCCCTCTCCCATCACTTATTTAATTCTATTAGTGTTTCGAGATTCTGAGCATGAATTATCCACTAATAAAATCTAAGTGTATTTCATTATCCAGTGTGTGTATGATTCAGGTCCCTCTGGGCATGCAGTTGCAACCAGACTCGATTTGAGTTTTAAGAAACGTCAATCTTTTAAATCCAGTTTGGAACCTGAAAGGAGACTGATGATTTTGCTGATTATTCAAATGAATTGATGGTCTTGAGATAGGAAATCTGGCCACAATGGAGTCTTGAACAATATTTGAAACCCAAATGCAAAGTTGTGTGTGTTTTAATGCTTGTGAGAGAGAAATTCCTAGAAATTAATTACACTATTGGATCACTTTGACTGCTATTTTCTAGATTAGTAAAATAGTGAATAAGCACTATATGTCAAACTAAAAAGGGGTCATTCCTAAAATCTTAAGGACAAGATTTTGCCATTAAGTGACTACAGTGGCTAAAGGAAGCCACTTTCTGTAAGAGAAGCCTAGGGAGGCTATAGTGACCAAATACTTTTAAAACCATCATCTTATGAAAAAACCACTCTGTTGAAATGCAGATAAAAATGATATGGATGGAATATTCCAATACAAGTAGTTCCTTGAAAGCAATTTGATTATTTCTGCATGGAATATTCAAGTAGTAACTTTAGAGGCAAAGAAGAATTTAAAGTGGGTCATCTGGAAAGAGAGAAGTCCTTGAAATAAAATATGTGTACCAGCCCTGGGCGGGTAGCTCAGTTGGTTAGAGCATCATCCCCATACACCTCCAGGGCACATAGAAGGATTAACCAATGAATGCATAAATAAGTGGAACAACAAATCAATGTTTCTCTCTCTCTCTCTCTCTCTCTCGTTCCCTCTCTCTCTCTAAAATCAATAAATATAAAATATCTGTACCAAATAAATCAAAAGGAAATGGACCAAGTGCCACTTTGTGCTCTGTCTGAATAGCCAGTATTTCGCAAAGTTCTCAGCCAGCAGTGGGGCCCAGTAAATAGTTATTGACTGGAACTGGATCGAAATGAAATAAATGCAACTGAACTGATTTACCATTGGCAGATGTCACTTAGAAATAAATTGTGATTTTTTTATGAAATCTAATGTGAGAAGAAAAAAATATGCCCTCCCAATGGACAAGAGATCAGGTATGTTAGACAGGCTCTTGCGGCCACACTGAGGTTTACAGATACCCTGTATACTTTCCAAACACGCAGCTTACTTCCATGCCTCTGGGCTTAGAGAGACAAGCCTGCCCCTTGCATGTCGCCCTCCTAGAGATGAGGTCGGGCCTCCGCGCTGCGGGCTCCTGGCACCGTTGCACTAGCTAAGGGAGACCGCTGGGGTCGGAGGCAGGAGGACGCGGGAGCTTGTCCCACGTGACGCCAAACCCTCGGCCTCCTCTCAACTCAGGCTTCCTCTTCCGACGTCTTACAAGGAACAGGTGGCCGCGATCTAACACTGACATGGGCGTGACACCTGCTGGGCTCTTCTCTCGGTGCCGCTCCCTCGCAGCCAGGGTGCGAACCGCAGGTGTTGGGGCGCAGAAGTCCGTGGGCGCCCAGGCCTCTGCATCAAGCTTTCATGCCACGCGAGCGGCCACGTGCTTGCCCGTGGTCCGTCCCTTTAGTCCGCGCACAGTGCAGACTATAAACACCACCACCAACACAGAAAGTGCGTGGGAGAGGCGCCTGCGCCTTCCGCGCTTTCCTTGCCCGGTCTCTGGCCTCCGATCCCTCCTCCGCCGAAATGCCACGTTTCCGCACCCAGTGCCCGTGCCGCGCGGACCGCCGAGCTGTCCACCCGCCAGGGAACGGTGCGCGGCTCCGGGGCGAGCAAAGCGGGCTCTTTACCTGATCCGGGAAGCGCCGCCGCACCTGCCCTGCACCCGGGAGAGAAGGCTCGCGGCCCCGGCTGAGCCACGTCGATGCCCTGCCGCGGCCAGGCTCGAGGAGCTCCGGGTGCCGGGAAGATGCTCTCTCCGGGGAGGTATTCGCTTCCGCAGTGAGGCCTCCCTCCCTGCCTCTGTCCCTCTCGGAGCGGGTTCCGAACTGGACTCGGCCGCGGTGCCCCTCAGCCCGCTCCTGGCCTGAGCATCAGGGGGTGGAAAGGGATGCGGTCCAGCTCTGGAGCCGCCGGAGGTAGCTGCCCAACCTTTAACCCCTGACCCCGGCCCCACCCTGCACAGGGGGCGAGCCAACTCGCTTCTAACTCACACCCACAAGCCTGTCCACCCAAAAGCGAGAAAACCTTCCACGTGTTAGCACGCCAGGCGATCAATGCCACCAAAGTTAGCAACGATGCTTAAAATGTTTTATTTTTTTTTTCTTTAAAAATATTTACAGATCTGTAATCTCCCCCTTTCGCCCCCACCCATCCTCGGGACGAGGGGAACGAAGAGAGGTGCGGAGATCTTGGTCCAAAGCCCCCGAGGGCGGCGTGCCGGCCGGGTGCCTATATACACAGATGTACGGAAGGGCGAGCAGGTGCCTGGTTGTCGGTGTCTCTGCTTTTCCCCACCAATCAGTGCCGCTCTGGCCGCAGCTCCCTTCCCCACCCCCCGAGCGCATCCCTTCCAAAACGGTTTTCAAAACACACTGGTCTGTTTGGGGTAGAAAGCAGCAGCTCTGGCCTGAGGAGTGCAGATAAGGACCCGAAGCAATCAAAACAAAAAGTAGGGCGGAGGCCATAAATAGGAGCTAATGAATACACATGGTGTATCTCTTCCCGCCGCGCCGGCTGCGGGCCCGGGGGCGCGCTCAGTAGTCCAGCTTGTTGTAGAGGCTGTAGAGCGGCAAGGCCGACAGGCTGCTGCCCGGGTAGTAGAGCGGCGCAGGGAAGGCGAGCGAGCGCGGCACCGGCACGCGCAGCAGCGAGCTGTCCCGGAACACCAGCGGCATCCCCACCAGAGTCTGCGCCGACGCGTGCGCCATGTTGGCCGCCTCCAGCTCGGCCGAGAGCTGCCGCTTCCACTTGTTGCGGCGGTTCTGGAACCAAGTCTTGACCTGCGTCTCGGTGAGCTGCAGGCTGGAGGCGAGGCAGGCGCGCTCGGAGCTGCTCAGGTAGCGCTTCATGTCGAAGGTGGACTCCAGCTGGTACACCTGGCTGCGCGAGAAGACCGTGCGCGTCTTCTTCTTGGCGGCGCCCGCCTGCCGCTCGGCGCCGCTGTCCCGCGGCCGTTCGGGCCCCGGCGACGGCGAGCCCGCGGGCAGCAGCCTCTCTTTCTCTTCCTTAAAGTCCGCGTGCGAAGAAGAAAGGAAAGGCGTGTGTTGCGAGGTGGCTGGCCCTGCGCCTCCGTTGCCCTTGGGGGCACCTGGGGAATGAGAACAGACAAGGAGACCGTGGATTGGGGGAGCCTCAGAGAGCCCCCCGCTCTGGCCCGGACCAGGGTTTGGCAGGCGGCTGCAGCCTGGGTCCCCTCTCCTTTGGCCCCAACCCCTCCCCTCTGCCTGGAACGCAAAGCCCAGCACCCTAGGCTTTTAAAAAGCAACAGGAGAGACCAACTACTTCGAGC